TGGATGAAATTAAAAAACTTCAAAAGAATTACCTACTTGATAGCGTTAGAAACGAAAGTTTCGTTGTTTTCCGGTCTATTTACATGAATTCTCCTGCAAGTATACCTCCACCAAAACTTTTTAGACAATGACGAAATGTGACTTTCTATTACGTAATCCCTGAAAAAAAAAGAGTTCTAATTTTTCTTGAAATAAAATATCATATTGCTAATAAGAATAAAGTTTTGCTATGCTAACAGTGTAGACCGGTACATCACTAAAAATGGCAGATGGAGTGACAAATTAATAAAGATGTGGGTAAATCATTTGTTCAATGTAAGTATTCTTAATTAAAGCATACAGTTTTTTTTCTACTCAACCTATCTGCAATTTTAATAGGTGTAAATTAGTTTCAAAAGTTTCATGAGAACGTAGAAAGCAAAAATTATTTTGCTAATCTTAGAATTTACTTCTGGCTTTGATTAATTCTAAAAATTGTTTTTCAACTTTATTTAGACTACAAAAGACATGAAAAATTATTAATTTTTGTCTTTAGATTTTACTGTCAACTAACCTAACGCATTCGCATTTTTGGTAGGCAGAAAGCAATTTTTCAATTTTTAAAAAACGGGTGCGCCTAGAAAGTCTTCCTTAATAAATCGTCTTTCGCACCTCTTTCCAGAATACGTGGAGAACTATCTTTTTTGTCTCCGGTTTGATAATATTTTAAAACACCCTATTTTTGTTAAGCCACAAACTTCTCTCACATACAAGTGCAGCAAGTCAAAAAACTACTGCAAAAAACAAGTTTTTTTTTTTTAAGTAAAAAAACGAAGGATTGTTTTTGAAATCACCTTTTACAGAACATGCAAAATAAACTTACATTCACAAAATGAACACTTTTGCTGCTTCTTAATAGGAGAGTAATCCAAACTTTACAGAAAAGAATGTCTGAAAAGTCGAATTATTGATATTTATTTGAAACTATTAAGAACTTTTGATTAGCTAGATCTGAGAAAGCAGAAAATACCAAACTTATTAATTTCAAGCTTATCTGTTATCGTTCAACCAGCATTTTGGAAAACAGTTCGCTCTTCACTTTTGTGTGTTTAAAATAAGTGTTTTAAACAGCAACGTGGAAAGTTGCAGAGAGGACACTTCAAGAGTTATCTAACAATATGATATTCTTACCAGATACCTAGTTTCTATTTCGTTTGTAACTCACAGCTTTTTCAAAACTAATTTATGTTGTAGTCGATAATAACCCTTGCTTTAATCCAAGATTAGCAAAAATAGACAGTAATTAATATGTATAAGTTTTTAAAGCCTTATATAAATTATAAGAATCATAAAAACGCTATGCAGTCACAGTTTTCTTTTTTGATTTCTGTCTATAGCACAAACTGTCAAGGGAAACAAAACATCCAATATACATTTCTCTTGCTTACTTACTATTTAGTGGTAGTCTTACTCTCTCATTTTCTAAATTTTGATGAAATAGTCCGGTTTGGAAGAAAACTTATTAGCTTCAATAAAACTAAAGATGTGGCAAATATATTTTCAAACTTTTTACTTATAGACCAGTAATTATTGTCTTGTAAAAAGTAGCTGTTCTTAAGACTAAATGGATATTTAACTGACTGCTGACAGCGCAAAAAAATTAAAAATTTTTAAATTATTTTCTGTTTCCATTCTTCAGTAAAGAAAGACCCTTCTTTTTCGTGAATCTTGTACAGAAGGATTAAAAGCCGAAGAAGATAGCATTTAGAGGAGAAGTCTATCGTCTTCTTACCGGAGCTGCTGTCCCTAAAGGAGAAATACAACAATGGTCACTGATGCGTTGTGAAGAACGTTTAAAAAATGATATACAAATAATTCGTCCACCAGAACCCCTTACAAACTGAAACTGTTCTGTAGCTGACAATTTTCGACCTCTAATGCTGCTTTCTATCTTAACTTTGGAGCTATATCAGTATAAAACACACGTTCTATTCTGCTGTCATTCTAGTGGTTCAGGACATCCTCACAAAGAAAAATTATTTCATGTAACTATTGTCAGCACATGCCTTTCTGTGACCTTACTGTTCACCGTTCCATTGAAAAAAGTGTCATTCTTATATTCCATAGCTTGATAACTTTTGCAGACCTACTTCAAAATAATATTTCAGCTTGAAAAGGCCAGAAACTGCAGTAATCCTTTCTAGCACAATTGCGGTATTCGGCATCCCCGATGCATTTCTAATCCTCATCTGAGCTATCTGACACTATAATTTCTAGTTTCCTATATACAGTCAGTCAAATATCATTATTTGCAATATTCTTCAGGTAATTGGAGAAAAGAGGTAATTTAGGTAATTCCAATGACCCGGAGATTTCAGAAAGTTATTTTTAGAGAGAATCTGATATTACCTATTCAGTAGAAGAATACCCCTGAAAATTTGCTTGTTCATATTGTGCTCCCGTGTCAAAGCTCTTTTCTCACGTTTTAATAAATAAGAGACGACAAGTTACTCGGCAAACAAGGAGAGTACGCTCTTCCAGACCAACAATAACAAGAGCTGCAAAATCTAAAGAATGGTTTACCCTGCTGTTGTATTCTCTAAAAAAAATTGTCTTGCTGATGTCTTTGATATTTTTAACTTTGGCTGCAGTTGTGTTTTGGGATCAAGGTTTATCGAAGATAAACCATCTCTCCTCAAAATATAGAAGTAAGCAGTTATAGCCCCTGTACATAACCCAAAAGAAGTGCTTAATTTGTTCACAATTAGCAGAAATCAGTTATTAAAAAGGAACAGAAAAGTTTACTTTTTTCGATAAAAGTTATCCCCGGCAGCCTTGTGGAATGATTTTAACAGGTAAAGGATACGTAAGGTCCACATTCTTCTCAAATTTCCTTTCCTCCCTTCTCTATACGAAGCAATTAACAGAAAAGAGGACAATTCCACTTAGAAAATGTAGCACTCTTAGTGGTCATAATGTTACGAATACTTAACTGTTCATTCTGTTCATTCAAAGCGTTCCTTGACCTTACCTTTATTTGTTTTGATTTATTCTGCGCTCAGCTCACTGCATTGTAAAACTGGTTCATCTGATTGGTTATATAAAAGTAACACTTTTGAAAACTAGTATGTTACAGGAAATTTGAAAGGAAATTCTGGGAAGATAACTTTGAAAGGAGGAATCGAGGTGTTACAACAGGTCTGCTAGCTCCCGGCTGTTAAAAGAACGTTCACGGAAAGCTGAGTGCAAGAATTCAGCGCTTTTTCAGTAACGAAATCCTTAAAGTGTTCATGCGCAAAACAAAGCAGTGGAAAATTATGACATTTTTTTATTATTCCTTCCTCGTTGTCTAGACTAATTAAAGGATGTTTTTTACAAGATCTAAGTTCTTTTTTAGACTGTGGGTCATACTGTACGGATTAAGCTTTGAAGTAATTTACTCTTTTTCAAGCTTCATAAAGATTTGAGGTGTGAAACAGAAAAATATTTATTTATATACCTATTGCCATATTACGTGATCCACGCATTAGTTTTACTTTTAAAAAATTAGTTTAAAGCTTACTTTTGGCGTTTGTTTTAGATGAAACAGTTTTTGGGGTGCAGCTAAAGAACGGATCTTGAATCTTACAAGCAAACTGGCGATAAAGCAAGGAATTATCTTTATGTGGTAAAAAACGTTAAGGAACATAAGATTATATCAGTGAATGAGTTATTAGTTGAAAGATAAAGATATTTTGTTTTTAAAGAATTACCAATAAACTGCTAAAAATATTAAGCACAAGATAACCGTTAAAGCCATACTTAAGGAAGATTATAGTACATGCTCACTCCGAAGAATAACCTCAACCTCCGACCGTATTAAAACTGAATAGTCAAGAAATGGAACCTTACTTAGTACGCTAAGCAACAACGTTTAACAGATACGGGTATTAAGGTGAAAAAGCGAGAGTCTTCACCTTATCCGCATCCGACGAGGTAATGCTGTATTTTATTCTCACTGAAGCGAGAATAATTAGTCCTCGCCGGTGATCTAAGA